CGGTGCCACTGGGGCCTTCGGTGGAGCTCCCTATGGGGCCACGAAACCTGTTGTTGTTAGGGGCGCGCCGGGATGGGTGGCGGAGACGCGTGTGAGCGCGGCCGCTGGGGCCTTCGGTGGAACTCCCTATGGGGCCACGAAACGTGTGAAGGGTGTGCCGAATTGGGTGGGTGTGGGTGTCGCATGTGAGCGCCGCCACTGGGGCCTTCGGTGGATGATGGGGACACGCAACCTGTCAGGGGTGTGCCGAATTGGGTGTGCGGGACGCATGCGCATGTGAGCGCCGCCACTGGGGCCTTCGGTGGGGCTCCCTATGGGGCCACGAAACGTGTGAGGGGTGTGCCGAATTGGGTGTGCGGGACGCATGCGGGCGGCAGCACTGGGGCCTTCGGTGGGGCTTCCCTATGGGGCCACGAAACGTGTGAGGGGTGTGCCGAATTGGGTGTGCGGGACGCATGCGGGCGGCAGCACTGGGGCCTTCGGTGGGGCTCCCTATGGGGCCACGAAACGTGTGAGGGGTGTGCCGAATTGGGTGTGCGGGACGCATGCGGGCGGCAGCACTGGGGCCTTCGGTGGGGCTCCCTATGGGGCCACGAAACGTGTGAGGGGTGTGCCGAATTGGGTGTGCGTGACGCATGCGGGCGGCAGCACTGGGCCTTCGGTGGGGCTCCCTATGGGGCCACGAAACGTGTGAGGGGTGTGCCGAATTGGGTGTGCGTGACGCATGCGGGCGGCAGCACTGGGGCCTTCGGTGGGGCTCCCTATGGGGCCACGAAACGTGTGAGGGGTGTGCCGAATTGGGTGTGCGTGACGCATGCGGGCGGCAGCACTGGGGCCTTCGGTGGGGCTCCCTATGGGGCCACGAAACGTGTGAGGGGTGTGCCGAATTGGGCGTGCGGGACGCATGCGGGCGGCAGCACTGGGGCCTTCTGTGGGGCTCCCTATGGGGCCACGAACGTGTGAGGGGTGTGCCGCATTGGGTGTGCGGGACGCATGCGGGCGGCAGCACTGGGGCCTTCGGTGGGGCTCCCTATGGGGCCACGCTCCCTATGGGGCCACGAAACGTGTGAGGGGTGTGCCGAAATGGGTGTGGGTGACTCCCTATGGAGCCACGAAACGTGTGAGGGGTGTGCCGAAATGGGTGTGGGTGACGCATGCGGGCGCGGGCACTGTGGCCTTCGGTGGAGCTCCCTATGGAGCCACGAAACGGTGTACTGGGTGGGTGAAGAGGAGAGGAGGAGAGGAGGGGAGGAGAGGAGGAGAGGAGAGGAGGCAGAGGAGGAGAGGAGGAAGGAGACGCGGGGCACCGTCTCTTCAAAACGAGGACCCAACACCACAGGATGGTTGGGAAAAAGTAGGGCGCCACTCCAGCGTAAAACGGGAGGAAGTCTCGGGCGGGACCGCTGGTTTTGTCGGGACGGCGGTTTTCGGCGGCGAGGAGGAGCACCGCCTTCAGCAAAAAAGGGAGGAAGACTCGAGCGGGAGCGTTGTTGCTGCTGGGGGCGGCGCCGATGAGAGAAAGAGTAGCGCACCAGTCCAAGGTAAAACGGGAGGAAGTCTCGAGCGGTAGCGCTGGTTTTGTTGGGACGGCGGCTTTCGGCGGCGAGCAAGAGCACCGGCCCAAGTAAAAAAGGAGGAAGTCTCGAGCGGGAGCTTTGTTGTTGTTGGGGGGCGTGTTTTGGCGCCCCCCCAAACCGCGCGAACGTGAGCTTCATTTTCAATGAAAATGAGCGGGCGCCTTGGCGAGAGCGCCAGGGCGCCTGGGGGGCGTCCAACAATAATAATTGTTTGGTAAACAAGATTCAACAACAACTACACAACACAACAATGGTAACAACAACCTTTTTCAGACTGTTCGCTTCGTATGCTCGCGTGTCACCTTACATGTAGATCCCTAAACCTCGACACACGCCCTCGTCGTCACCGATCGTACCCTCCTTAGGGGGTGTGTCCCTCAAACCTGCCACGAGCAGTTCGAACAGTCCCCAAAACAGGGAAAGGGAGGGAGGAGGGAAGAGACAAGGAGGAGGGAGAAGGATGGAGCACGAGAGAGATTTGCAGGAGAGGGCTAGGAGCAGGAATGCAAGCGGCATCACCAAACGGGCGGGTCGCGCGACCTTCTCCAGCCCGCCCCCCTGCGGGCACACAGCATATGAGGATCCAGCCACGAGGCCCTCAATGGCCGAAGCAACACAAGTGCCGCCATGAGCCTGCCGAATCCTCCTGCCGTCAAACCCTCGTGTGCTTATGGGTCGTGGGGAGGGAGGAGGGAGGAGGAGGAGGAGGAGGAGGAGGAGGAGGAGGAGGAGGAGGAGGAGGAGACGGAGGAGGAGGAGGAGGAGGAGGAGGAGGAGGAGGAGGACGGGTAGGAGGAGAAGGAGGAGAATGGGGAAAAGGAGGCCTCTTTCTTGCTGAGCATGCCATCGCTGTCGCCGTCCAGCTTGTCGAACTTGTCTTTCACCTTCTTCAGCTTCTCGGCGGCGGCGAGGAGCTGCTCTGCCTGGGCAGCCGCGGGAGGGGTGAGGCCGCGCTCGAGATCCACGGGGCGACGGGCTCCCAAACGCGAGCGTGCTCCCCCTCCTGTCCCCCCCATCTTCCCCTCTCCCCCCCTCCCTCCTCGACATCCGCCCCGCCCTCCTTTTGCTCCTCCTCCTCCTCCTCCGCTTCTCCTCCTCCTCCTCCTCCTCCTCCTCCTCCTCCTCCTCCTCCCCCTCCTCTTCATCATCAGCATCGCAATCGTCAGCGTCATCATCATCATCAGCATCAACTGCGTCATCAGCATCATCAGCATCATCATCATCATCATCATCATCATCATCATCATCATCATCATAATCATCATAATCATCAGCATCAGCATCAGCATCAGCATCATCATGATCAGCAGCAGCAGCATCATCATCATCAGCAGCAGCAGCATCATCAGCAGCAGCATCAGCATCAGTATCATCGTCATCATCATCATCATCAGCATCACCACCACCATCAGAATCAGCATCAGTGTCATCATCATCGTCATCATCATCAGCACCATCCTCATCATAATAGTTAGCCGCATCAGCGTCAGCATCAGAATCGTCAGCATCAGCATCAGCAGATTCCGCATCATCATCAGCATCAGCAGCAGCATCATCGTCATCATCAGCGTCAGTATCATCATCATCACCATCAGCATCAGCATCATCATCATCATCATCATCATCATCATCATCATCATCATACACATCAGCATCATCAGCATCATCAGCAGCAGCAGTATCACCAAAAACCACAACGATAAACACCTCACACTCGTAAGCAACAACCACAGCATCAGCATCATCACTATCATGATCATCGTCAACATCATCATTATCATCATTATCATCATCACCATCAGCAGCATCATCAGCATCATCAGTATCAGCATCAGCATCAGCCTCATCGTTATCAGCAGCACCATCAGAATCAGCATCAGCATCGTCATCATCGTCGTGGTCGCCATTATCAGCATCATCATTAGCAGCATCATCAGCAGCACCATCAGAATCATCATCATCATCATCAGCAGCAGCATGATCAGAATCCGCATCAGCATCAGCGGCAGCATCATCAGCATCATCAGCGTCATCAGTATCAGTATCGGTTGTATCAGAATCAGCATGATCATCATCAGCATCAGCAGAATCATCATAATCAGCATCAACAACAACATCAGCATCATCAGCATCCGCATCATCATCAGCAGCATCCTCAGCATCGTCATCATTATCAGCATCATCATCAGCATCATCGTCAGTATCGTCACCAGCATCCTCATCATTGTCAGCAGTATCATCCCCAATCCGCGTCAGCAACATCATCCACAGCATCAGCATCCTCATCATCAGCATCATCAGCCTCAGCATCATCATCAGCATCCGCATCATCATTTTCACCAATCGTATCATCATCAGCAGCATGGTCGTCATCATCATCATCATCATCATCATCATCATCATCATCATCATCATCATCATCATCATCATCATCTACATCGTCGTCACCAACCTTACCATCATCGTCAACATAAGCATCATCACCGTAATCGCACTCGCATTCGTAATCATCATCCCCAGCACCCGTCATCCTCATCATCGGCAGCATCATCAGCACCAGCATCAGCATCATCAACCTCATCCTCATCTTTGTCATCAGCATCAGCACCATCAGCATCATCAATAGTCACACTATCAGCAACCGAATCCTCACTCTCTCCCCTCCCTCACGTATGCCTCATTCCCAGTCGGGTTCGTCATTCTTCTCACCCTCATCCCAATCAGCATCACCGCCACCATCATGATCATTAACCTCATCACCACCGCAACCACCCTGATCATCACTACCACCACCACCATCGTCATCAGCACCAGCATCTTCATCGTTGACACCACCATTATCATCATCATCATCATCATCAGCAGCAGCAGCAGCAGCATCATAAGCAACAACCCCAATATCATCATTAGCAGCAGCATCAGCATCATCATCAGCATCATCAGCGGTATCATCGCCATATCCATCATAACCATCGTCATCAGCATCATCATCAACATCACCACCATCATCATCACCATCGTCATCATCATCATCAGCATCGTCATCATCATCATCATCATCATCAGCATCATCATCATCCTCATCAGCAGCATCATCATCACCACCAACACCAGCAGCAGTACCATCATTATCAGCAGCAGCAGCAGCAGCTGAAGCACACTCATCATCAGCAGAAGCACCATCGTCATCATCATCATCATCAGCAGCAGCATCATCATCATCCGCGGCATCATCATCACCACCATCACCAGCAGCCGAATCAAAATCAGAATCATCATCCCCTTCTCCCTTGTCTCCCACATCATCCCATCCTCATTTCGTGGCACTGCAACACATCAGGGCAGGATCCGTATGGCCGAAGCTTACAGAACTAGCTCCTCCTCCTCACCCCCCTCCTCCTCCTTCTCCTCCTCGCCCCTCTCCTCCTCCTCATCATCATCCGCATCAACCTCCTTTCGAGTCGTTCATACTCGTTGTCAACACCACTACCACCACATTTCATACTGAATTCAGCAAAATCAGCAAAACCAAAGAAGTCCAGTGCTCAACAAGTCAATAAAATATCAAAGGATGCGACGCACCAATCGAGTTAGGATGCTCCCTCGCTCCCCCCTCCCTCGGCGCCTTGCACCCCCACGGATTCAACATCCATCAGCTATGCTCATCTTCCCCGTCCTCCTCGCCCTCCTCCACCTTGCCTCCCCCCCTTCTTGCCGCTGCGCACAGGCATTGCAAACACGAGGTAAAAGCGACCACGCACATGCGTACATCAGCGCTCGCATGCGGGAGGACGAGGAATGGGGGACTAAGATGATACCGATATGACTGCTCTGTAGGCTTCTCCTGGAGTGCGTTCTGACCACAATTCTTATGCGAATCCAGCCGTGGCGACGAAGGAAGGGGTAGCGGTATCAAGAGATATTCCCCCTCTGTGGAAGGCGAAAAGGACGAGAGGACTGGGGGGGGCACCTGCCACGCGGCCTCCTAGCAACGTCCTCCTTCACAGGCAAGCCGTTAGGCACACAAACACACAAACAGACAAGCAAGCAAGCAAACAAATAAACAAAAGAAAGCACCTGCAGCATCAGTGGCAGCCTCCTCCCTCCCCGCCTCCCTCCTGACCGCGCTGCTTCAGAGTCGGCGGCAAGTAAGGGAGGGAAATGAGAAGGAGAAAGCAATCTCAGAAGGCGGCAAAGCTTCTCAGAAGCCCTCTGGCCCACTGAGAAGCTTCCTGTGCCGTCGGGAAGGCTTAGAAAGCTTCTCAGAAGGCCGGGGGAATTCCGAGCCTTCTGAGAAGGCCCGCCCCTCTCACTTTCCCCCCAGGCTCGCCCTGGATCGATCCTCCTCGTCCTGGACCGATCCTCCCTTCTCGACTCTGGATCGATCCTGCATGGCCGCCCCCTTCACTCCCACCGCCTGGGCTCACCGCCAGACGCCAGCCGCCGTGCGCGGCCCTCCTCTCACCCTTCCTTTGTCGGCGCAGGTCTGGACAGGGACGAAGAGAGCGGAGAGGCATGACGTCGAAGCATCAGCTGACGTCGCCTGCCCTCAACTTTGAGAGCCTCTCGCCTCGAGAACCTCCCTCTCCCAGCGGCGAGCCCAGGGGAGAAGTGAGCAGGGGCGGGCCTCCCCAGAGGGCTCGGAAGACCCGTGGCTATCTGCGCGAAGTTCCCTGAGCTTTCCCCGAAGACACACAGGAATCTTCTCGGAAGGCGCGAAGGCTTCTGAGAAATCGCGCCGCCTTCTGAGAGGGCATGATTTCTTCTTTCTTTCGCCGGGCCTAGATCAGGTCACTGATGGCCGGATTCTTATCTTATTGGTGAGTTCCTCCACAGCCCGCGCCGCCTCCTCTGAGGTGAGCGCCTCCGCTGTAAAAGAAGAAACTGGATCGGCTATATTATTAGCAGTTCCCCCCTCGCTCGCCGCCGACTCGCCTGGTCCGCAGGCCACGCGCACGCGTGCTGACCGCCACCCGCCCCGACCTCACCGCAAGCACCCCGCAGTTACATAACGTATATATTTACGCACGCATATCCGTACACCTATACATAAACCTATACACATACATCCACATATACGCAAACACATACCTACTATATATACATCCGAATAAAAAGTATACATACACATGTACATACACATACACGTGTACATGGACACGTACATGTACAAATACATACATATATACATACATAGACCCATGCATATACACATACATATACACATACACATACACATGCACATACAGATACACATGTATGAATGCGTATAAATATGTATACATGTACACATACACATATACGTTTATACATACGTTTACCTATATATTTACATATACATATACACAAACATATGCATATATATATATAGACATATACATATACATCTACATATACATATATATATATATGTTTCTCTACACCTGTTTTTGTGCACTCCACCAGGGAGCATGTCAGGCCAGGACCTCTGGGGGCTACTCAGGGGTCAAACCAGGAGTTGGGAGAGGTCCCGTCCCGTCAGCGGCATCCAAGGGCCTCCCAACCCGCCTGGCACAGCCGTGGCGCTTAAGCACCCGCGCTGCGTCCCAGACGAGCTGACACACTTGCACCGCCGGGAGGTTAATGTCACCAACCCCTGAACCCCCTAGCTCTCGTCCTGGCAATCACTCGCGCGGAGGCAGGCACGGCCACGCGCGAGACGGTAGCAATGCTGCCCCCTGTCTGTGGGTGGGCCAACACAGCTACGGAAGATGGATGAAACTCAACCGTTCTCCATCAACGGCGTCGCGCACGCTCAGGTGGACTCCGCATAGGCTTCCTTGGAAGGTTACTATATGCTTCTCTACACCTGTTTTTGTGCACTCCGCCAGGGAGCTTGTCAGGCCAGGACCTCTGGGGGCTACTCAGGGGTCAAACCAGGAGT